AAGTACTGCCCCACCAGGAAGCCAACCTCCATCGTGGCCCTGGCCAGCAGCTGCAGCACGTAGATCCGCAGCAGCCCGTCCGCGCGGATCTGCCGCCGGCCGTCGTGCCTGGGCTCGGCAGGGCTCTGCTTCTCCTTGCTCTCCTCCACGCTCTCCACCTCCAGCTCCGGGTACATCATCGGGTCCTCCTCGTGGTCGCCCTCAGCCTCCTCCAGGCCGCGGTGCTGCTTCCAGTGCACGGGCAAACTCCTCCTCCCGACCCTCCTGGCGGCCTCGCCGCGCCCCACGCTCCGGGCGATCTTGTGGATGGCATAGCCCAGGTAGAGCACGGAGGGAGTGGCCACCAGGATGATCTGGAAGACCCAGAACCTGACGTGCGAGAGGGGGGCGAAGGCGTCGTAGCAGACGTTCTCGCAGCCAGGCTGCTCCGTGTTGCACACGAACTTGCTCTGCTCATCGTAGTAGATGGATTCTCCTCCCACAGCAATGAGGACGATCCGAAACACAATCAGCACTGTCAGCCAGATTTTGCCCACGAAGGTCGAGTGGTTCTGGATCTCCTCTAACAGGCGGGTCAGAAAGCTCCAACTCATGGTGCTCAGATGGGTTTATCTACAAAGCAACCAAAACCCCCAAAGATTTATCAGTTTAGCAGCTTGAGTGAGCCTAAACTGTGTAACACTCGGTTGAGGGAGACTGAAAACTCCAGACCTTTACACCCAACACACATCCACATCACCTGTCATCGGGATCCAGCTGCCAGGACTTGCTTGAAGGTCCTACGTCTCCTCCACAGGCTTTTGAGGAGTCTGCTAGGAGGGAAAGGACCAGTTTGCTGCCACGTCACACAAAAACACTCCCAGAGCTACTCCCCAGCTGGAGACAGAGACAGACACAGCTCCTGGTCTGCCACAGGTGGACAAACACATTCCCAGTGGAGGCTGAAGGCCCCAGAACACAGGGGATGGGGAGACGAGCGCTCAGGAGGTTTCTGGGTGCTGCTGGCCGTGCCCTAGTGCTGACAGGGAGCTCTAGTTTAGCTTGTTACAGCCTCGAGCACAGCCCCTGTGGGACACTGTCCCCCCCAAGGGCAGTGCCAGCTGTCCTGGGGCACAGAGGGACTGCCCAGGCCACACCTGGACAGAGCTGCAGTTCCCTGGGAGGTACAGGCAGGACAAATCAGAGATCAGAGCGGTGCCACACACCAGCACAGGGACAGGGCTGGGCCAGGGAACCTGGAACTGATGCTCAAGTAGGTGTCCGGATCTGGAGGATCTGGTTTAGGGTTTAGTGGTTACAGCAGCGGCAGGTTAAGGGTTGGACTGGATGATCTTAGAGGTCTCCTCCAGCCTCCTATGGTTCTCTGAACTGCCTGGGCCATGCCCAGGGCAGAGATGCAGCTCAGCCCCAGCAGGGCGTTCTCACAGAGAGGTCACTCAGAGAAGAGGGAGGAGGGTTCCGGAGGGTTCTGGAGGGTCCGGGTCTCCGGGCGAGCAGAGGTGGTGGATGTGACCCTGGGCTGTCCCTGCCCTCAGGAGCAGGGGGTGATCTCACCTCCGTGTCAGCGAGGCAGCACTCGGCGCCTGCGGCCGCATCCTTCAGCAGCAGCTCAGACATCAGGGGGTGAACACGTGAGGCTCCAGCCCAGCTGAGGGGTGGGGAAGATGCCTAAAGGGGAGAGATTGAGAGAGGTCAACTTGTTTAGCTGAGAAACATGGGAGGAGAATGAAGGATTACTGGTGAATCCCAACACCAACCTGATCCCACCATCCCAGGGAGCACTGCCCGGAATAACGTCCCTAGCAGGGAGAACGAGGAGTGTGACACCACTCAGTGCCCTGGGACAGGAACCTGGCCTGCCTTGGGACTCATCCAGAGGGATTCCAGCCTGGATTCCACTGGTTTTATCAACTACAGGGTGCCAGAGCACACTCTGCCCACACCGCTGGGGTCGGCCACAGCCCGCGGGTCTCGCCCAGACGTCAGTGCCACCCAAGCCAGAGCAAATGACCTCTGTCCAACAGCAGGTCCTCCTGTGGAGCTGATTCTCTTCAACAGGAAAGTGTCACTGACTCCAAATTTAGTCCTAGTCCAGAGCTGTGACACAAACAGGGAGGACACACCAGCAGGCAAAGAACTCCCTGGGCTCTAATTAAAGGATCTGGTTCAAGCAGAATGACCAATCTTAATGGTCAGCCTTCACTGGGAACATTCAGCCCATCCAAATTAAACTCAGTGTGAGAACAAGAACTTCCAAGAAGAATTATGGCTTGGAGGAGGTGCATCCTCCAGTTCTGCAAGATCAGCCAAGGTCAGAGGGACATGTTCTGCCTGTGCAGCACCAGACACGTCGCAGTCCCCTTCACCCAACGCACACTTGCGGTTCGGAGCTGTTGTGCTGGCAACATTTAGCTCAATAATTTCCCAATGTTTGAAAGAAAAGTCTATGGACACTGACACACATCTGAGAAAGGCAAAATGTCAGCAATTCCAGCTAATTTAAGTCATGCCAGAAAGTGCATTTGAGAGAGACTTTCATGCCTTGTATTTGTCAGGAGCTCCTTCCAGCGCTGCAGTGGAGGAGGCTCCTGGAGCAGGCAGGACCCACCACGGAACACAGGACACAGCTCTGACAGTGAGTTGGCTCCCGAGCTAAAGCTTTGCAGGCACTGAGAGAATGAACAGGGATTTGGAGCAGGTACATGGGAAAAAAGACATCAGCTCTGGGGGAAGCGACTCCCTGCTGGAAATCTCTGGGGCTAGGGAACAGCCCTGGGCCGTGTCCCATCCCCTCCCCAGCCCAGGGGGGTTTGGGGATGGATTTAAACGTGGGATGAGTTTCTTGTCTCACAGTGATGGCTGATGGTGATGGGAAGAACTGAGCCACAGAGCAGCAGTTAAACACCTCAGGATCCCATCCCAGAGGGAACAGGAGCTGAAGCTCTCAGGTCTCTCTGCATTTCCCTAGCTCATCTCCTTGTCTGCAGGAGAGATTTTGTAGCCGCAAGGCAATTGCTAAGGAGAATGAATATATTTACAGATGACTTTTTTTTCCCTTAAAATGTGTCCTCCCAGGTCATGCTAACCAAATTTGATTAGTTTATTAATGATTTATTTGTTTTGTTTCGTTTTAAGCAGTTTAAAAAGACGTGCTGAGCAGGGCAAAAGGAAGAATAAATGCATGGCAATTCTGTTGTTGATCAAAAGAGGTTTCATGCTGCATGAAAGTGAAATTGGACCCACAGGCTAATTAAAATAGGATCTGAATTAGGATGGATGAATAATTAGCATTATTCATTCCAATCTCATTTACACTGAAAAGCAAGAAGTTAGAGGATTCACAAGCACTTTTGGGGAAGCAGAGGGTTCCTTGGCTTTTAACCTGGAGAATGAGTAACTCTTTGCTGTGGCACATCCCAAACCCTAGGGATAACCCAGCCACCTGCACTCCCTGACCACAACTCAGCACCCACTCCAAGCGACACAAGGCCAGGGATGTGGGGACACTCCTGGGATGGGACAACTCACAGCTACTCCACCCTTTGTGAAGGAATTCAATCATAGCATCACACAGTCACTGAGGGGGGGAAAGACCTCCGAGACCATCGAGCCCAGCCTGTGACCCATCACACCTTGTCAGCTGGACCAGAGCACTGAGTGCCACGTCCAGTTGTTCCTTGGACACCTCCAGGGGTGGTGACTCCACCACCTCCCTGGGCAGCACATTCCGATGCGTGACAACTCTTTCTATGGAGAAATTTCTCCTGATGTCCAACCTGACCCTCCCCTGACACAGCTTGAGGCTGTTTCCTCTTGTCCTGCCCCTTGTTCCCTGAGAGCAGAGCCTGACCCCACCTGGCTGCACCTCCTGGCAGGAGTTGGGGAGAGTGAGAAGGTTCTCTTGAGCCTCCTTTTCTCCAGACTGAGCCCCCACAGCTCCTTCAGTTCTCCAGACCCTTCTCCTTGTGCTCTGGCCCCTTCCCCAGCTCCATTTGCTTCTCTGGACACACTCCAGTCCCTCCCATGTCTCTCTTGCAGAGACACCCAGAGCTGGACACAGCACTCAAGGTGCCTCACCAGTTCTGAGTACAAAGGGACAATCACTTCCCTAATCACCACCAGTGTCACTCCAATTCCCAGCAGTGCAGCTGAGAAAGAGTAAGAAAATTGTACTGAATTTCATTTTTCATCTACATGCTCAAATACTTGGACAGGGGAAGGCTGGGACTTTCTGGAGAGCACACAGTGCTCTTTCAAGTAAATACTCTGTCATCTGGCAGAGCTCACGTGGCCACAGCAGAGAAGGGTTTGGAAACAGCCACAATGTCAATGTCAATTTGGAAACCCTTTCTGAACGGTGCCTTCCATCCCAGGCATGCTAACGAGGCTGTGCTGCTCCCCAGCCCAATCCCCCGAGCCCCAGAAGCCCCATGCTGGATTGTGAGATCTCAGCTCCCATGCAGGATATAAATAGAGCAGGAAAATATGGGTAAGAGGTAGAGATATAATAAGATTCTTGTGCTGTCAAAAAAATGAGGATGTCAAGGACGTATCTCTTTGAAAATCAACATATACCCACCCGAGCACTCAGCTCCCAGAGAAGCTGGAATTTGCAGCTCAGACATGACCCTCTGGTCGCCTCTGTGCCCTCTAGGTAGTGCTAACATGGGAAGCCAAGTGACAATTTTAGCAACACTCCCCCGCAGGAGCAGAATTCGAATGAAATCACGACGTGTTTCGTGCTGGCCCAAACCAGCACTTGCTGCACCTACAGCAAGCAGAGTGGTGCGGGAGGCAGCGTGGCCAGGACACACATCCCAGCTGCAGAGGGACCCGCTGGGGTCGGCCTGGAGCCTGACCAGCTCATCAGAGCCTGCAGGGACAGGAGGCTCCAGAGGAAACGCAGGCTGGGCTGAACAGGCTCTATGAGTTCTGGAGATCTGTTGTGGGGCCTGTCAGCCTCAATCCCCTCAGACATGTTCAGCAACCAGTATCCCTTCCAAAGGATGGGAATGAGCTGTACCAGCTCAGGAGAGTGAGCTCGGAATGGGAGCACTGGAGCATCTCCCCTATGAGGACAGGCTGAGAGTTGGGGCTGTTCAGCCTGGAGAGGAGAAGGTTGTGTGGAGACCTCAGAGCACCTGCAGGAGCTGAAGGGGCTCCAGGGGAGCTGCAGACGGATCTGTGCTAGGAGCTGCAGGGACAGGACAAGGAGCAATGGGGAGAAATTGAAAGAGGGAAATTGAGGTTAGATTTCAGGCAGAAGTTTTCCCTGTGAGGGTGGTGAGACCCTGGCACAGGCCGCCCAGGGAGGCTATGGCTGCCAAGCTAGAGAAAAGAGCCAACACTGCTGTGCTGAGACCAAAACCAAGTGTCTGCCCTGAGCTCTTGGAGTACCAGCTCAGGCTGTCTGCACCCCTAAATCCAAAGACCTGGAGGACATCCTCAAGGAAGACAGTTCCTCCCAGCTGAAACGACCCTCAGACTGGGTGAGTGTGGCCTCAGTGGACGCAGCGGCACAGAACACTCCTGACTGAGCTGTCCACTCCCTCTCCTCCACACCACAGGGATCCTGCAGGCCTTTCCAGGAGCT